GAAGGGTAGACCTGGTCGAATTCACAGCCTAAACTCTTCCGGTCTTCTTATTTTCAAGGACTTCGAAGGATCCAGTCTAGGTAGACCGCGTCCTTGGAGGACCCGTCCTAGGTTTTCGAACAGAGCCTATATGTAGCAGACTGAGACAAAGGGAGGGTTAACGAGCTGACAAGGAACAGGTGTGAGTGAAGACAACGAGGAAGCCAAGGGGAAAGGAACACACATAAATCTAGAAAATGCAACAAAATAGGAATTAAACCAATAAAACTAAAAAAACAAGGAGCAAAGTAAAACATAACAGAACCAAGAACAGTACACACATCTGCATCATATTCTGTTTCTTTTTCTTATTTCCTGATAATTTTCTGACTGTTTCATATTGGTGCTGTTTGGGGAAAATGCACTTTATTTTCATTCTTTATAGCGTCTCACAGCAGTCGAAATAACCCACTTTTTAATTATCGTTTTTTGTGAGGTCAAAAGATGACAACCTTTTTTAAGCCTGTAAATTGAATGAAAAGAGAAAGTTAGATTAAATTGAATAGATGAAGGTGCAGGTGCACAAAGGCTTTAAGTGGAGATGAAGCAGACGAAAAGCCATCACACTTGATCTTCACAGTGGGAATACCATTTATTCATCTGACAAGGTCAAATGTGTTAATACCCTGTAGCTCAATCAGCCTTTAATTTTGACCTTTCACCTTTATTTCTTTTTCAATGTCTTTTCCCCCGGTTAAAGTCATGATTTATACAAAATCAATTCCATAAAACTCCTTTCTCAAAACAACATGCAAGTCTTTCAAAATACTAAGTTGTTTTTTTTTACCATACAAACTGATGTCATTTTTGTCTGGATGTGTTAACTTCCTCTATAGCAGAAGGTTTTGCTTTAATTTCACACAAAGCAAAGGATCAGAAAGGTTAAACGTTTTACTTTCCTTTACTTTAAATAGGATCTGATGGTTTAGCGAGACTTTTCTTAATGTTCATTATAAGAACATTTTGATGTGAAACTTCTTTTAGTCTGGTGAATGTTTATGTTTAACCCTTTATAGAAAAAGTTACTGTTTTTGATCACTTGCATACACCTTACAAATGATTTTCTTGTTTGTGACTCTTTGAAACTAAAACCCAAATCATTATATATTTATTATAGTATCACTATAAAGACAAAGCACGTTCTTGTTTTTACGATTTCAATGCATTTTCTATTTTATTTTATTTATTTCTTCAAAATGTCTGGAGTTTTAGGTCATGTGACTATTTGTTTTTATCCAACTTTAATACTTTTACTATTTTTTATAACAAAGAATGTCATTGTTTTATTACATCTTGTATTTTATTACATCATCATCATCATTATACATCATAAGAAATTCATTTGAAGGAAAAGTGCGGTCATATTCAGAATTCAAATTTCTTGAAGTACTTTAAATATAAAATTATAACATACTTTTCAAAAAAAAATTACAAGTGTTTTCAATTAAGAGTAATTTTCATTTGAATGTGATTTACTGGAGGCATCCATCGGCGGTTGATCAAGTCCCAGTGCTGTATCTGGTCTTTGTCACAATGCGCTATTATCCAAGTCATCTTGAAAACATTTTTCATGCTTGGGTGTCGCTTGGCTGTCAAGGGAGCGGTTCACCCAGCAGAGGTGGAGGTGTATGAGAAGAGGGAAGTCTGGGTCTTTGCTGAGACCGCTGACCGGGAAACCTGGGCCCAGGTAAAGCAGAAGATGACATATTTTTCATATTTTCATATTTTTCTGGATATTTCTTTTAGATTTATTCACACAGTTGGGGAGTAACTATGATTAAAAATAAAACCTCTTAATAGGGATGGGAATTCAGAACCGGTTCTGTGCGTTCCAATTCCATGGCACTGTTTGGCAGCTCGCTTAACGATTCTCTTAACGGTTCCAACCTGCTCAGAGCCTAGCGATGGCCAGCATGACTTACGTCATGTTTTTTTTACGCAAGTTACGCACACGGCATTCAGTAAGCCAGTACGACGTGACCAGGCGTAAGTTTAGAAGAGCAAAAGAAAAAAATGGCGTCCCATCGGGTAAATTGATCGAAAGTTTGGCTTAATTTTAAGGAAGAGTAAGATGGCAACAAGGCGCTTTGCAATCATTGCAAAGTGGCGATTACATCCGCGGGAGGAAATACATCCAACATGCAGAAACACCTGCGCACACAACATGGCATATATTTTTTACGAATGCCGTGTTTTTTGATGCTTCTAGACAGAAGCTAAAGTTACGACCAGCATGGAAGGCAACTCTGGTCATAAGTAGCTATTTTTATATCACTGGCCATGCTTAATGTGGTTTCTAGTAAATCATATAACATTTATGAAAATAAACCAGTTTCCTACCTCTCTTTGGGGTTATTAAACATGCTACAAAGTTTCTCCGCAGTTCAGGGAGTGAGAGAAAGGTGACGCTTGTTTATTTAAATCAGGGGGAGATGAGTTTATTTCCTGAAATTGTACACTAATGCTTTTTCATTAAAGGGATGCCTTCTCCATTAGATTTAGATGATTGTCATGAGACGGGTAGCCTGGCTGGCTCAGAGGCTGGCAGCTCTCGGTCACTGCCTTCTGTTTTCGCCAAGGCAGGCAGAAATAGAATATCCCAGGCAAAGGTAGACGAATGTCACCGTGCACTTACCAAGTGTATTGTTTCACAGAATCGATAAGAGATTCAAATAAGGAATCAAATTGTTTCACAGAAACGTTAAGGGAATCGACATCATGAAAATCTTATCAATTCCCAACCCTACTTCTTAATGCTTTGCGAGTAGGAAAATCAGCAAAATTGGAAGCGTATAAAAACCACTTGTTCTTTTTTACACCGTAATTCGGATATTTTTGTGCGATGTACATGCAGTAAGTGCAAGTAGACTCTTTCAGGTTTGGTAAATGGCATTTTGGATGGAACGTAATTACATTTAAACAGCCTCCTCCCAGCATTTTACATATTCTAATGATCAGCATATCTTTTGCTGTTTGACTTATTTAAAAGAAATGCAAACCAGCTGTTTTCTTTTTAGCTCAGCTTTGTTACACTCTCAGGTTTGCAGGTCTTTATATCAATGCAGACCTTAAGTACATAAGGTATTAAGAGCCTTACTCTCTAATATTCCCTCCCACATCTCTCTCTATTGTTGCTAGCGGTTGCTAGCCGTTTGAAAGTTTGTTTGCACAGGAGAAGAAGGCGTATTAAGTCTGTTAGGCTTCAAGGAGCGAAAAGCATCCTTCTACTGAACAGGATTTCCTGTTTGCTGATGACATTATGCAGGGGATTGAAAGGCGTTATATCAAATTTATGAATGTATTGTTTCTGGACTTGATTCTCCGTCAGAAGTAAAATAGTTTGTAAATTCTTTTTTTCTGTATAAAAACAAACAAATTTCTGTTGTGTTTAAAACAACATGGACTGCTTGTCAGACGTTGCTTTTGAAGAGCCTAAACCCAAAGTGCATCTAATTTTCTGATACTGGGCTAATTGCAGGGTTGTCTGCTATAAAGAGGAAGGACCGCATGGTCTTGTCAAGCTCTTAATCCCTTTTTGTCAGTGTGGGAAGTGTTTGCACCAAGTTGCAAATGGATTTCTGATTTGGGAAATGACATGTTTGTCCACTTGCTAGGAGATGGCGGTGTGAGTGTTATTAAAACACAGAGCAGCCATGCTCCACTGCGGGCATAGCGAGGACCAACGGATGGATCATATGTAGGCATGAGGGAACAAGACGAGTTACCGAAAGATTATTTAAAAGATCAGTCGCACCACGTTCTTTTGAAGCCATTTTTAAAAATGTAGTATTGAGAAGATTTCGATTGTTGTTTATAGTTCTTCTTCTGTTTTGTGGCACTTGGCAAGCAACTTACTGATGTGCATTACCACCAACTTCTGGAAGCTGACTGTAAATAGGAAATGACGCGCTCTGCTCACGTCAGACATGGGCAATGTGGAGTCAACAAGTCATCTCCATGTCATGTATTTGTTCTACCCAGCCACTGAAGCAGGTGAGTCCAATCTTCACCGTGAATTAACCTGTGCAGATTGGACTCACCTGGTTAATTGGCT